ATAACGTCATTATCTCAACAGTTAACAAATACGTCACCAAATTTCACTCCCGATCTCTACCACGAGCCCGGAACGGAGGGTTGGGGCGACCAAATTCACCATTACTATGTTGTCGAGGACATGATGAAGCTGGACCCTTCGCAGGTGCTATGGTTGAGAGAAAACGCTCCCCTCAAGGGACAGGTTGAAAGCTACGTGCGGTCGATGGGAGACTGGTTCGACAATAATGGCGAAACATTCGGACAGACGCTTGAATGGGTAATGAACGAACGTGGAGGGGACTATATGGAGCTGCATTTTTCGATTGTTGACGGGGAAGTGGGCATTGCCACAGCGAAGAGCTGACAGCAGTTCTGTGGAGTGTGGTTTTTGTTCCTCCATTCTTTCTTTCTTCACCCTGGATGTCGATATATACCGTCCTATATAGTAATTTTCGGCTTCTCGCTGTCGTTTTTCCGCCTCGTTCTTTTTGTTTTGATGGATCTAACTTGATTTGGCGATCTGGAATGACGTTTGAATGTGCGTGATTATTACATACCCACTTTTTGTTTTAGGTAGTTTTACAAGTAGATAAAGTGAATCAGCCGATTTTGTTTTGAGTTATTCGGTGAACTACGGAGTACTGAGTGGCGAGAACCATATATGTGAAACGTAGTCTATGTCGGGCAGGGCTGGGAACACGATTCCAGCGATAGTTTAACTCACACTACGGAGTATAAAACATAACACACACCAAGTAACAAAAGTTAGAAAGAGGGGCAAGAGATAGAACAAACAATAGAAATTTAGTTTATATTTGCAAGAATAATTAATAATTAACAGCCACGGGAGAAAGGAGGATGATGGATCGTAAAGAATGTGAAGGTGAAAAAAAAAAAAAAAAAAGGCGAGTATAGAGACGACAAAAACTGGGGGTCAAAAAGAAAGGAATGGGGGATGCAAGAAGATTGTCAAGTAAACTGATGAAGTAAAAAGCCCAAAACAGTTAGAAGAAGGGAGAAAATGATGATGAAGAGGAAGGACGAGGAAGGCCAGAAAAAAAAAAAAAAAAAAAAAAAAAAAAAAAAAAAAAAAAGAGGGCCAACGGGCAACTCCACAAATCATTGATCCCGTGTGGCCGTAAACATTCACTTCTGGAAATCGGGGATATCCTCATCGAACTCCATCGGGTCTTCAGATTATCCCTCTTTCCATGCTCAATTACATTCCACCTTAGCCATTGTCTTTTTTTTCTTCTCACATCACCATGCTGCTCTCCCTAGGCCGTAGAATGACAGTGAAAAGAAGCTTTAATTGGCGGACAAGGCGAAAATGAATAAAAACATGCGGGGCAGGTAAATAGAGGACACGGCATGGGGCATGACATGACACATACAGAAACACAACGGGACGGTTCTTCAGGTTTAGATCGACCTTGACGACCGGAGAAAAAAGGGTCGGAGAAAAAAGGGTGAAGTAGAAGGGGGAAAAGAAAAAGAAGATAAATAACAAGCGAAGTCGCCATACGTCCAGTCCAGACCAAGACCCAAACGTTACAAAAAAAAAACAAAAAAACAAAAAAACCTCAGTCATATCTAAATCTCGCCACAACCACCTAGTCTTTCACTGGGAGCAAGCGCCTTGTCCAGGCGAATGCTTCTAGAGTGGTGATCTAGAACCCCTGTGTTATACTTTTTTTTAGCAGCACTTTTGCTTTGCGTCTGCATCCTGCGACTTCGTGATTTCTACAACCTTGCGGTCGCCTAGAGGGTTCTGCCCTGAGGTACCGTTTTCGAGCGCTTTACTGGAAACGATGCGGTAGATTTCTAAATAAGACGCCCTGTCAGCTGTTTTGTACCTTGTAGGAATGAGAAAAAATCTAAGGTGGTTATAGGAACTGTGAGTTTGTATTACCTGTAAGAATATTTTGGAAAGCAAGCTCGACATTGGTGGCGTCGAGGGCAGACGTTTCGATGAAGGATAGCTTCCTTGTCTCTGTTATATAGGCCAGTTAACCTGAGGAATAAAGAGATTCCCTAATTTTAGGCTTCAGGGGATGGATTTGAGACTGGAAAACAAGTTACAACATACCCGCAAATTCAGCGCCTTGATCAGTTTTAATAGCCCGCACATGTTTCTGATCGATCTTGTTTCCCACGAGCATAATGACAATGTTTTTGTCGGCATGTTCCCGTAACTCTTTCAACCATCGCTCGCAGTTTGCGAAGGTCTGTTCCTTAGTGGTATCATATACAAGGAGGGCACCCACTGCGCCACGGTAGTATGCAGATGTGATGGCCCTGTATCGTTCCTGGCCTGCGGTATCCCAAATCTGAGCCTTGATTGTCTTGCCGTCTACCTGGATAGAGCGGGTTGCGAACTCGACACCGATGGTGGACTTTGAATCGAGGTTGAATTCATTGCGGGTGAATCGGCTCAGCAGGTTGGATTTGCCGACGCCGGAGTCTCCGATAAGGACCACTATGTTCCCGAAGTAAAGTCGAGATCTTGGTTAGTTATATGGAACAAAATTTTGCATAATTATTAAGGTGTCAAGAGGTGGGAAGGGATTAGATGGTGGCGTGAGGGAGCGGCGCAAAGCTCGTGCGGGCTGTACCTTTGAAAAGGAACTAGAAGTTGCAGAAGCATTAGATATTATCACACAGACAGATGCAGTAGAGGAGAACGAGAAGAACGACTTACATCATATTCGTCGTTAGCCATGAGGGAGGATGTGGAGGGCGAGAGCTGCAGTCTCTCTTCTCGGGAAAGGGGTTATAATAAGGTGATAAGAGTGACACTAGAACAAGATAAACCTCGAAACAGGGTGCTAGGTTGACAAGAAGGTAAAAGACTGTCTGCCAGTCAATGGCGTTAAGTAAATATCGGGAGGTGGGAAGCGTTGTGTGTTGATAGAAAGTAAGAAGTAGGCAACTAGATGTCCGCTATATGAAGCTGTGTTGTCTGAGGTTTGAGATGGGAGACGGAACAGGAGGGTGTGGAGCGGCAGAATAGTAGGTACCTGGTACCTAATTCCCCTGGTCTATTGGCAAGTAATTTTAGTACTGGGTACTTTCGTGGCAAGCCATCCTGAGACGGGGGGGGGGAACTGGCTGAGTAAGCAAGAACCCCCCAACAAGAAGTTGCCAAGAAATACATCACGTGCTGATTGTGTTAATAAAGAACAAACGCCGGGGGTTATCTCAGCAAGCTCAGACGCTTCTCCAGATATTCCATTGCTGTTTTAACACTGGATTGATGATTATGTCATGAGCTAACCTCAAATAAGTAATAAGCTAATCCAAATAGTAAAATCAGGTCATGTGAGTGATAATATCTTATAAAGTATCTGAGAAGAAACAGTTTCTGATTATTAATAATATAAAAAGAATTTACTCAGTACTCTGAATATAAAAGAGAATTTTAACTTAATTTTATAAATTCATTATTTCTGTATTATCTTGAAATCTTAGAATAATAATATTCTCATGATATATCTGATTTTTATATTCATATCTTAAGTTCTTAGAATAGAAGTATCATCTCAAAGTTAACTAGTGTATTTTTAAATATAGAAATTTTGATTTAATTTCTTATATAAAAAAAAACTCTTAGAAATTCTGAGATTAAAAAATATGATTATTTTCAAGAGTATATATCTATCTTAAATATAGATTTTTTTAAAATATTAAAGAAATATTTTTATTCTTCTTCTCTTTAGTTATAAGCTAAGATGATTTTTAAATCTCAAAGATATATAAATATATAGTAATAGAAAGTCAAAGTTAAAGAATCTGAAAAATCCTTGTAAATCTCAGAAATCTTCATTAAAGATGAAACCATTTCTTCTCAGACTCTCTGGTGAGGATTGCTCTGAGCACATGACTTGTATCAAAAGTAGGTTAGTGTCATGCCGGATTAGTTAATAATGCTGCAACCTGTTCAAACCGAGCCAGAGGTCTGAGCCCGCTGAGATAAGCCGGGGGCTGGTTTGATACTTGCCATATGTTGATGATTATTATGTTGATATGTTGATATGTTGATATGTTGATATATGAATGAATGAGGAACCCGCTCTCTACAGGACACTACGCCAATAGCCCGTCATTGTAAAGGGTATCTGCCGCCATCCCTTCCTCGCTTTTCACAAGCGCAATTTCTTTGTCTGCGCGTAGAAAGCCGGAATTCATCCTTTGACCTGTCATTCATGCTCGATGCGTAGTTGTTCCTTTATGCTATAATGATACGAAACACGACGCGTCGAAATCTATGATGCGCCGTCCTTTCATAGCCATATACACTATTGTTTTCTACATTCTTTTCACTTTAGCGTGGCCAAAAATTTTGATTTTGCCATGACTTCCAAGGAGGCGTCAACTGGATCCATAGGCGACGACGATGACATTTCAGTCACTTCAACAGTTGGTAGTGAGCCGCGGTCGGAATATGAAGTGGAAGCTATTCTTGCCCAAAAGAGCTTTGCTAACGGTGATGCATATCTGGTAAAGTGGGCTGGCTACCCGCTGGAGAGAGCAACGTGGGAGCCGGAGGAGTCCTTTTGTGATCCTAGCACCTTGGTGGAATGGAGGAAGAAAATTGCGCCTGGAGAACATCAGCCTTTAGATGTGGATGTGGAAGCTCTGGCACGCAGGATTGAGGAGATTGAAAACGCGAAACTCGATAGACAACGCAGGCGTCGAGCGAAGCGGATTCGCCTAGGTCTCGCGGTGTCCCCTTCAACTGAGAGTTCCGGTGCCGCTTATGATAGCCGGGACAGTGACTCTGACCTGGATGGCTTTATTGTCGGCGATGATGTTGATGTGGAGGGAGAGAATGAAGAGGAGGGTTGGCAGTCATTGCGAAAGAAACCACGACGCTCGTCCAACAGCAAGACAAAACACGGGGCGGCAATGGCTGCTCCTCCCTCGCTATCTCACAGCGACCCAAGCAAGTCTCAGGCTTCTGCTTCAATACGGCCGCCATCGGCTGAATTTACGAACAAAAAGAATAAATGCGATGCCACTTCCGCAGCCAGAGCTCCAGCAACTAACCTTCAATCCACGCAATCCACGCAATCCACCAAACTTATATCTCCAACAAAGCAAGTACAGACTCCAAAGAAGCTGCAGAAAGCTTCTGAACGTCACGAGGCGCGGCCAATTTTAAAATTAAAAACCTCATCATCCACTCACCCTTCGTCCCACTCCTGGCTGTCTCCTGCGCAAGGTCAGGCACCTTCATGCTCATCACCTAGAGAATCTGTAAATGACCAATCTCAAGTCCCAGGACCCTTGATCCCCACTGGGCTAGCGAACAGAAGTGTTTCCATCCGAGCAACAAAAAAAACGGGCTCAAACCCAACGTTTTTCCGCAATTTGTCCTCTAAAAACAGGTATGAGAAAGCCATGCGGCGGGACTTAACACCAGATATCATGCAACTAGAGTTGAGACCTCCAGGCGAATGGATTGCATCCCAGAACAGTACAACTCAAGTTTCTGAATCGCCATCAGACTTTCGAATCTCTCCCAATTCAGAAAGCTTGTTCGTTGAGCAAGATCAGCCCCATCATGAGGCTAACAATCGCCGCCATTCTCATGATAGTCCAACCAGAATCGATGTGTCAACTGAGGCGAGAAGTGGCTATCGATCTAATCAGGCTCAACACGCTTCGGGGCAACCATCACAAAAACTCTCCCATGAAGGCTCTCTTAATAGTTATAACTCGGAAACTAGTATCATTCGGTCACCCGCATTTTCTCCACGCGAAACTAGCCCACTTAGACCAAGCCGTCATGCCACACCAAGAGGAATACAAGGAACAGGAGGCCGTTTCCGATTGTTCCAACCGACAGAAGCGCTTGCCCACCTCCGATTTGGACCAGAGAGTAAGGAAATAGGCGATGTCAGGCTGGGAGGCCTAACAAAAACATCAATTTGGCAGTTGGTGCTTCTCAAATCACAAAACATGATTGATATACATTTTAAAGATGTGTGCAACCTTGACCAATACAGACAATTATGTGATAGGGTAGGTAACTCTTTCTTGGCACACAACATTAATATTTGAACACTGACTAATTGATTCATTCTACAGAGGCAAAACAAAAAATACTGCAATGGTTACGTACTTGGTTATGATGATACTTCCACGGCAGTTAATGAACTAGCAGACTACTTGAGTGACAATCGGTTGGCTGCTTTATGGTATCACCCAAAAGACGACATACCAACGGTCATCGTAGCCTACGCTTCAGATTGCCCAGATTGGAGTTTTTTGAACGGGTCCGACGCGTATCCGCCTGCGAGGCTCCGCATTGCGGTACGGAGTGGTCTTGCTCCTGTTAACAGTCTTCGGCCCGTCTCTGCTAAGGGAACACTCTACCATGCCGGTGAACACAGCGCAGGCGGGGAGGAAAATCATTTTAATATGAACCCGCAGCCGATAGAGTCTATGGCACAGCAACATGGAATCCAATCTTCACTGTCGAAAATCTTGTCTGCAGCCAATGGCCCCATGGATATTGTATCCATTTTCCGAGAGCGGTTTGGTATCACTTATGATGAGCTCAGCATTGTGAATACCTCCCGGACTGCGCGATCCTTTTACCTGTATTTCCCGCGTGAGGTGGAAGATGAGTTTCAACTGGTCCTACTTTTCTTAAAGCACTATGATATGGTTTCCTTTTCAAATCGCATCGAGGGTGACTGGGAAAGGTTTGTCAAGACTGTAACAACTGGCACTGTACTGGTGAGACTTACAATTTTCAATTTTCACATCAAACTATACATCTGTGCAAGCAAAGTTAACCATCCGGCATGACAGTTCCATCAGAAGTTCATCCATTATGAAAACCTACAGATGCTTTCGAAGCTGTTACGGTCTCACGTGAATGTGTTTAGTATCTCCCTTGCTGAACCGATTAAATATCTTGGTTACTATAGCCACCTCCAAAGGCTTTTCCCACATGGAGGGATTATTCTGATGACAGAGGACTTTATGTTGAAGGCGCCAAAAGCCGCTTTAAAGGTTCTCACCTGGTTTGGGGTTTATGTAGGGAGAAAATTTCCAGGGACATGGAAGATGTTTCTACGGCCAAACGTACAGCGTTGGCTGTCTGATATTTGCGTGAGCTGGCCAGACGATACGTGAGTGTCGGACCTCCTTTCTGTTTTCCCTTTTCGTACTGGTTCTATTTTTGGGGACTAATTGGTCTCGATGTGTTTTCTTGCTCTAGACTTTGGCAAATGTACCTTACGATCAATAGCCTCATTCCCGAATATCCCGTGGGACACTATAACACTTACCGGCGCGAGGGTTCTCCGGACTCGTTGGATGGACTCCGTGATGATGAGGGCCAGCACCACCCCTTCATCTCGACACGCGACATACCGGATTACGGCTCACGGCGCGAAGAAGATTACCCGAATATCCCCAAGGGGCTGACGCAAGAAGAGAGAGATGCTGATCACCTCATTGAGTATTTTGCAGGCTACGCGTTGATCAATGCGGACAGATTTCGGCGGTTTGTGGTACTAACCACGCAGAAACCGCAGCCGCGATGGCAGGCGTGGACTCATGTACGTATTTAAGAACCGACCCGGCCCCCAAACCGCCTTTCTTCCTGAAAATAATGAGAAGCGAACTGTGATCTAACGTTTTAAACAAAATCGCCTCGCGCTTCCCCACCCCATCAGATTGAAGTCATGCATTACCCAGACTTCAAGCGAAAATTCATGACTTCCTCCACGCAGGTTAGCGCCAGTATTAGTAGTGGTGGCAAGGACCGGGGCCGGGACAGGGACCGGAACCGTGACCGTGACCGCGACAATAAGGGTGAGAAAGTCTCACCGACAAAATGTACCTAGATATAGTTTCAATGCAAGATGGGATGAGATGGGTACTAGGCATTCTTTATGCTGGGAAGCCTGGTTATTCAGTATACGGATCGGATTGGGGGGGGATCCATGCCTTGGTTCGTGATTTTGTCCTACCTTCTATGCTTTTGTTTAATTTTACTTTTCTCAGGCGACTACCATATTTATGCGATATGTGTGCTAGTTACGTGCATACATGTACGTGCTGTACAGAGGTGTTGAGTTGCTTGCGCTTATAGCAATTTCCACAGCAAGAGAACGAATGGAACGGTGGGAAAGCACCTAAGTAGCACACACACACGAATACCTAGGTAGCTTAGTTATGTAGGTAACTAACTAATGTTCATGTTGAATCATACTATACTGGCATAAGTAAAAACTGCAACCCGTGAGAAATGAAGAGAATGGTATGACGAAATCGACCCAAAACATACAAGGCGTAAACCCGTATCAACACTGCAAGTCGTAAAACAAAAAATGGAAAATTGAAAACGGACAGAACGAAATGTGAAACACATAAAAAAGGGGAACAAACAACTCCCGGTAACCTAGTTTGATCATCATAAAGCGTGAGCGTAAAAGTAAATAATCGGGGGAGGGGATCGACATGAAGGGAAGAAAAGAAGAAAAGGGGAGGACAGATAAAAAAAAAAAAAAAAAAAAAAAAAAAAAAAAAAAAAAAAAAAAAAAAAAAGGGAAAAACACGCTGGAGTGTCTTAACAGAGTGACCGGGGGAAGGATAGGACAAAGTAGAGATATGAAATCCTGTAGCGTGTAGTGAGGATGACTCGATTGAACCCCCTTTCAAATAACGATGATTTCATGAACGAGGTTTCAAGAAAAGAGAATAATGACCCACGATCTGGTCATGGAGATGTCTTCTTTTTCTTGTATCGAGGCCGACAAGACATATCTTCGAGAATAAGGCAATTCAGTAACATGGTCATGTCCTTTTATAATATACCCAACCTATTTTCTGGTGGCTAGCTTTCGATGCATGTCACGAAAACCCGCCAACAGCCGTATCTGTCCTGGCTCGCGACCTCCACTGCTCAAAGCTATTGTCATTGTTATTATTAGTACTATTGTTTCCGCCCCCTTCCTTTTGCTTCCTCATCTTCTCCTCCCACTCGCTTTCTTCTGCGGCGATCATTGCGTGGAACTTGCCACCCTGCCCACGAGCGAGGTACACGGCTTTCTCTTTCCGCGCAGCAACGGCCTCGGTGACGAGGACGAATTTCACGCTGGAGCCCGGTGCCTCGAACATGGCGTCGCCGAGGATCATTTCCATTTCCGTACGCAGGCCTCGCGCGCCAGTCGCCATTGACATGGCGTTATTCGCTATTTTGTGAAGGGCAGGTGTCGTGAAGCGAAGTTCGATGCCTGAGAGGGAGAAGAGCGTGGTGTATTGGGCGAGTAAGGAGTTGCGTGGCTCTGTTAGGATGCGGAGTAGGAGAGGGTGGGTGAGCTGGGAAAGAGCGGTGGTGATGGGGATGCGGCCCACAAGCTCGGGGATAAATCCATAGGTTTGGAGGTCTGGGGGTGTAAGGAGGTCAAGCGGGTTAAAGTAGGTTGGTTCTTCGTCAGCGCCGGACCCAGACGGTAATGGCGCCGGGGTAAAGAAAGGCAGATGCTTCTTATATAGTGCTTCCTCCTCAGAACCTGGTAGGATTGGAATAGGTGGGGTGGAAGCTGCATGTGAAGCATTGTGGGAACTAAATGAGTTTGATGATGCCCGTACAGGTTGGCCAAACCCGATGGAGCCACGCGATATCCGATCCATGATCAGTTTGTTTAGGCCTACGAAGGCGCCCGAGAAGATAAAAAGGATGTTGTCTGTCCGCACATTGTAAACTTCAGCTTTGCCAGAGGATCCTGGTGGAGTTGAATTGAAGGACGATCCTCCAAAATTACCACTGCCGCTGCCTGGGTTGGAATTTAGTGATCCACCCGAACGGGGAGCGCTTCGCTCTGGTTTCGCTTGGATCTGAATAGTCGTTCCTTCAATGATCTTTAGCAAGGCTTGTTGCACTCCTTCTCCGCTCACATCTTTCCCGTGGCTAACTTTTGCTGTGGCGATCTTGTCAACCTCGTCAAGGCAAATAATGCCTCGTTCTGCCTGGGCTACATCGTAATTGGCAGCAGCTAGCAATCTATGGACACACACATCTGCGTCCTCTCCAATATATCCGGCTTGTGTAAATGGAGTGCAGTCAGACATGCTGAATGGCACGGACAATACGCGAGCTAATGTTTTTGCCATCAGAGTCTTGCCTACGCCCGATGGGCCAAGCAGCAGGATATTAGATTTCTCCAACGTCAAAGGAGAAGAGTCGACGGGGAGTGGTCCTGATCGCGCATTGTCATCATTGGTAGTTCTTTGGGTATGAATGGTCCGTTGCTGACCTGGGAATTCAGCTAGAGAGATGAATCAAGGACCAAACAAGTCAGCAGCAAACTCAAACATGTATACCAATTGTCATCTGGGAAATACGATAGAGCAATAGCGGCATACTCTCTACGGGATGTCCTTCTACCGACTCACGACGTGCTTGTTGTGCCCTCAATTCCTCCTCCTCTTCCTCCCGCCTCTGCAGCTCCTGCACCCGTTGATAGTGATTGTAAACAGCCACACTCAACACCTTCTTAGCCCTATCCTGGCCAACGACGAATTGATCCAGATGCTGTTTGAGCATTTTAGGAGTCAATCGCGGAGCACCAAAGGAGGGAGCGGAGCCCAATGGGCCGGATGTTGGGAGGCCCGGTTCATAGCTGCCGGTGAATGGCTGGCTAGTGAAATCAGAGCGGTGGAATTGAGAGGGAGAAGAACACCGGGAGGAGGTCGAGAGATGGCGGTGGATAGAATAGAGAGCCAGATATGAAAGTTGGACTCTTCGGCGGACGGGGGAAGTTGTCGGTGTTTTCCAGTCGAGCGGTCTAAGCGGGGACCTGAAGGGGAGGAGAAAACTCATCGATAGTCGCCTCATTTTGGAGTCATCCAGCTGGCCCTTAAAGCTGGCAGTGGGAGGAGTAATTGAGGACTCAAACAAGGGCTTTGTGAGTATAAATGATAAAACGAATACCGCAAATGAACTCAGCCAGCGCTGGCAGAGTGGAGTTGCGCAGAGAGTCGAGAAGATGTTGGATGTGATGAGGTTGGGGATGTGCTTGGCCAGAGCTTGCCTGCTGCAACCTTCCCGGAGCCTTCTTCCCCGCATATCGGGAGCACGTGAGCGATTACGTCAGTGTCACGTGGCTTTGCTGAGTGTTAGAGGATAACGTTATCTCAGCATGCTCAGCCTCTCTTCTTGATATTTTCGGATTAGTGTGACCAACTAAACTCCTTTAAACTTCTGTCAAAGCTCTGCTAACTTCTGAATCAATAAGAGACTTCACATATACTTACAATCTAATATCTTATAGAGAGTTTGAGAAGAAATAGTTTCATTATATATGAAAAATCAACACTGCTTATATAAAATATTTAATTGATTTCAGAATTAATCGTGCTATGCTTACTCACTCTCTATAGTGAGTGCATCACAGTGTATGAAAAATCACACTGTAAAGAAAATATTTTCAATATCTTTATTCTTCATCTTTAAATAATTATTATTAATTATAATCATGTCTAAATCTTCTAATTACACTGAGAAGAAGTTGTAAAGAGCTGTTAATATATATAAAAGCAATTCAAAATTCAAAATCATATCTCTGTCATGAGAATTCAAAGTTTCATATATTATCTTATATGAGAGAATTAACAGAAAGAAATCAAGAACTATGAGAGTTTCACTGAATTGAGTATTAAATAATAGTCAGAAAGAGACAATTAAGATATAAATTCATCAGTTGAATATTAATTTTTATTTATTCATTATCAAGTATATTAAAGCTGCTACAAACTGTATATTAAAACAGTATTATATAGATTCAGAGACTGCATCTCTCACAGTAAGTAAGATATAAATATATTAATTCATCAAATACTTATCAGATTATAAATGAGTTAAGTAAAAATTCATGAATTTAAAATAAGTGTCTTATAAGAATATAAGCTTTATTATTAACTGATTTAATTAATATAAAGCTGTCTTCAATGAATATCAATTTTTTCACTGTGATATTTACAACTTTAATAAGATTAAATTTTAAGAAGAAGAAGAATGCAGACAGTGAGTTATAACTATCTTTAAAGATATAAATTCTGTTATACAGTCATTATACTTCTGCAGATTAATAACAGTGATAAAGTATATTAATGTAGATAATATATATTGAATTCATTGATTATAATAAAATCAAAGATTCATTTAGAGAATTGATATACATACTTTAACTTATCTGACAATTACATCATCACTGTATTCAAGTCTGGCTTTACAAATGATGAGATTGAATTTGAATGAATCAAGCAGTTCAATAAGATGATAAAAAAGTATTAAATGAGCAGTTATTGACTGCTATTAATAAATAATCATGATTCTCATCTTATAGAAGAATTCATTTAATACTGTAATCTTTATAAGATTATTCTGTTCAGATTCTTATCTTATATAAGTTATATTCTATAATCTCTTGATAATATATCTTTTCAGCAGTATAAGCATTATTATACAAAGACAGTTAATGAGACTATCTGCTACAGATATAAGTAGTATAATGACAGATAATTTCTTACTAATCTGAAGAGTATCTGACTATAAGTATTTAAATCTGATACTGTGAGAGCTGGCTTTGCTGACTGTGAAATGTATTCAGTTAATTATAATATAATTCTCAATTAATTGAGACCTCTTATCATTGATGATGCTCTGAATCTCAATATATATAATAATGATAATAATGTATGCAATCACTTTATCTTATTATCTGCAGATTAATCATCAACTGTTTTCTTATAATTAACCTCTTCAGAGACAGTTGCAAAACTACATCATTAAATTAATACAGCAGTCAAGACCTTAGAAGATGTGAAGAATACTCTTACATCTGATTTAATAAGACAGTTGAACAAGATCTTCAAGAGTAGTATAATTCAGATAGAATTGAATATGCACTGTGAGAGTGAACTTACAAATCATTATTAAGCAAATAGATACTAAGTTATTAAATTCTCTCACAGACAGATGTAAGTAGATGAAGTTCTCACTATTAAGAATATCAATTGCAAGATTACAACTCATAGAGCAGATAAGATGAAAAAGACATTTAATAAGACTCTTTAATTAATTGAAATCAAATCTATAAAATCTACAGTTACTCAACTACAATAAGATAATTCTATAGAATCTCAACTTACAGTGAATTCTACATCTTCTAATGAGTATATAGATAATCTTTATATTATAGATAGATGTGATAATGATTATTAATTAATTTTTAAAGATTACTATATTCAAAATATTTTCTTTACAGTGTGGTTTTTCATACACTGTGACACACTCACTACAGAGAGTGAGTAAGTATGACATAGTTATATATCTACTCTAAATATCTATCTAATCATTATTAAACTAATATTTTTTAAATTCTCAGTCATTCTTCTATTATCTCTGTTATTTTATAACTCACTATCTCTTCTCATTATATTATAATTATTGATAAAAGACAGTGTATCTTTTAAATCTTAAGATACTTAATATCAGATATACTTTAATTAATATTCTTTATTACTTAAAGATGAATTCTCTCTACAATTACTACAGTCTCTTATTATTATTATTATTATTATTCTTTCATTATACTTATATACAAGCGGAGCTTATGATAAGTTCTTGCGTGATGTTAAATACAGGTTAAGTGTTAATTATACAGAAGAAAATACAGGTGTTGAGATCACATCAAGATAACAAGAACATAGGAAAATACAAAGAAGTGATAATTAGATACATATGATAATAACTTTTCAGCTCAGAAACATAGAGTGATTTATTGAAGTGATTTGTACACCTCTGTATTTATTAGAAATCTGAGGTGCTTGAGTTCTGAATTTAATGTATTCTCTGCGGGTTTCGAACTCATGTGCCTTGGTTTCCCATGCCAAGGTGCTACTGAGTGGCCGCATTAATCATTCAGCCACCAGGGCACTACAGTCTCTTAATAATATAGATAATGAATATAATATATTAGATAGTAACTTAATAGAGCTTAAATCTATTAATACTTTTTGTAGCAGGCTGCGCCTGATTATTATATAGACTATTTCATTACACTTCATAGATTTCACTGAAAGCTCTGATTCTCAGTCATTCTTAATTACTGATTTTCAGCTAAAAAACTTACAGAATTCTTATTCTTTCATTCTGAAGCTTCACTGTATACATTACTATATATATGTATAAATATTTACTCTAATCACTGATTCTCACACTTTCTCTTTCTTTTCTTCTTTAACATTTTTTACTTTGTTATATAAGATCTATAAATATTATACTGATCTATTTAGTGTAGATCTTCTACACTTGAAAAATATTTTATCATCTTCTTATTAGAAACAATTATTTATCAAGAAGATATTCAAATACATAACAATGTGTAAGAAATAGAGAAATAATTAAACAGCTAAATGAATATCAAGTCTCAATCAGTTAAGTGAACACTGAGTTTCTAGATAGAAGCTTACTCATCAGTCACTCTAACTCTGTAATAAGATCTTATAAAGAGAATATCAGTGAAAGATCTGAGAGTTCTGACATCTTAGATATATAAGAGATTTATATAATTACATTTCTTTCAATTTCACAGATACTATATATCTGATGAATGATATAACTATGTCTAATAATAATATAAGAGAACTCTTGAACATAAGTATAGATACAGTGTTACAGTGACTCTGAGTAATGTTGAAATTACAACAGCAACAGATAGCTGATATACATGCAACTTAACAATGTCAGTATAAGGAAATTCAATGATTATCTCAACTAGAAACCTCTGCACAGATAATTTCAACACTGACAGAATTGAATATGAACACAATATGAATACTGAAGAAACACTTAAATATTCTTACATATTTTAATACTTCTGATCTCACTCTCTACTTATCATAAAGATTGAAAATGCTCATGAAACTAAGTGTAGATAAAGATGTCATCAGTTCACTAATCAATCAAGATTAATATATCAATAAATGATTGAGAGATTGCATGAAACAGAAGTTTCATTCATGAATGAAAGCATGTGAACTAGTATTATAAATATTTGACAATATCATTAAATATCTTGATATTCTGTTTCAAAACACTGTCATATAACAGAAAGTATTAGATTGATTATAGAGTGTCTGACAGAGAAACACTTCTCTCATAACATTCATTTCTGACTTTAATATCAAGATTCTAGAAGCAGATGATTAATCTTGAGAGAATCAAATAAAGATTAGTATACTTAAGAAGGCATTAACTTTTAAACTCTTACAGATTCTTATAAGTGTAGATGAAGATCAGACTTATGAAGATTTCTGTATATAACTTCAGACATTGAATGATCATCTTATCAAGCTCAAGAGTATACAGAACAGTGATAGAAGATATTATATCTCAGTCACTTATACATCTGTACTGAAGAATGACAATGCAGATGTCATGAATTAAGTGAACTTAAATATCTATATATAAGCAAGAGTCTCTACTGTCTGAACAGACTTCTGAGTTTCTGAGATTACTTCTGAAGAAGTCGCTGATCAATATCAATATGAGATATGCATCAAATGTAACTGATCAGAATATATCACTTTCAAGTGCTGATCAGTCTATATACCTTCTCACTTGAGAGAAAGATCAGTGTCTTCTTACTCAAAAAATGAATCAGTGTCTGTCTGCATTAATCACATTGCATTGAAGAAAGATTCAGAAGATAACTATGAGAACACTCTGATGAAACAGAGAAAAGATTAGCTTCTGTTCAAATTTGCAAACAGAAGCTTGAAGAGATCAGATAATAATAATTTAAAGAAAAGATGATAATGAATGTAATTCTTATATCTACTGTGATGAATAATATGTATAATATGAAGACTATGATAGATAGCAGTCTATGTTACTATGCAATGATTAAATCTTCAGTTATAAGATGTTATAATCTTCAGTGTATCTTCTTATTAAAACTCTGACTTCTCATAGAATTTAATGATTCAAAAGATATTTGCACCTGTTACATGATAAAACTA